CATTTTATGATTAATTATTTTTATTTGAGATTATATGTGAATCGACATACAATTATTTTTCTCAGAGGATTTTAAAGGCATATCTCCTCACATTGATCTAGCACACAAAAAAATTTCCTTTGCTAACTACACTTTAACCTAACAAGTTTGTTTAATATCACATTATATATATAGTGTAAAATATTGTATAGAGAAAAAATTGTAGTAATCAATCAAACTACAAGTTTATATACATTTTTTTATGCAATTTTCTTGATTTGGCTAGTTAGAGTTCTCTCCAACCAATTTTTGTATTCATCGAGACTAATTTATCCTTATGTAATCTTAAGAGCACACCCACTTTATTAACTTGGTGTGTTTAAGGAAATTAATGCTAGTTCAATACTTAAATCCTAAACATGACTCACAAAATGACACTCACTCTCCATTAGAACCTACCTTGGAGTTTTTATTGGTGCAATTTTAATAACAATAAACTAACCACAATGGCTGTATTTATTGGTAAACAAGTATCGTATGCATTAAAAAATTAGTCTCGAGGTATACGAAAACTAGACCAAATAAACTCTAATGGTCAAAAAAAAAAAAAAGGAAAACCCTTAAACTAAGCAGTGATGTCACAGTTAGATTGAGCATGAAATTTTTAAACGAGATGACAGACAAATAGGTCTTGAATTCCAATTTTCTTAGCTCAAAGTTGGGGCGATTGCCGTTAAATATTGTAGATCCAAAATGAAAGCCACCAAATTCTCCTCTTCAGACAGATTGTGTTTCATCATTCGTTGCGATTCCAATCAAAATCCTGAACTCTTCTCACCACATCTTGCGCAGGGCACCACGGAAGGAGCACTATCACATGTCAAACTCTCTTCTCGTTTATCTATTTATTTGCAAAGTCTCACTCTCTCCACATGTATTTGTGTGCATTAGTGTGCTTGGAAAAAGAAGAAAAAGAGGTAGCAGTATAGCAAAAATGTCTAACACTATACTAGTTTGTGCCTTGTGTTTGTGTCTTGCAGCTACTTTGATCCATGGATCAAATGAATCCAACAAAAGAAAGGTGCATATATATCTTGCTCTCTCACTTGATGTAGCCCTCAATATTTAAATTTGAAATCTCTTAGAATCTCAATCTCATTTTAGTTTTTCATGCATGAGACAATATTGGTTCAAATTGTTAAGGGAAGTGTATCTCCTACGTGATTTGCACTTAATGACACCATAATTCTAGGATTCAGTTAATCTGTAATTAATGTATTGTATCATATATATTATTTCCATACCAGTTAAGCTTATGCGTTAGTACCTTCTGTATATATATTGTTTACAATACAGCAATAAGACAACTTAGTCTCCTACAATCTTTAGCCTTATAGTGGTATTAGAGCCTTCCTTGCTCTCACGAGCCCTTGATCATGGACACCCATGATGAGTCGCCCAACTCCGCTGCATCCAAAACCTCTCCAAACTCTACTGCAACAGTCCTTAATCCTGGCTTCACCAAAAATCCATTATCCTTCAACTCTGCCGCATTCCCTGTGAAGTTAACGCCCACCAACTATATGCCATGGAGGGCTCAGTTTACTTCCTTGATTGTAGGTTATGAACTCGATGGTTATCTCGATGGCAGAAACCCCTGTCCAGTTGCCACTAAACCAGAGTATAGCTCATGGGCCCGTCAAGATCAACTCTTGCAGCATGCTCTTATCACCTCCATCTCGGAAAGCATCACCCCCTATATTGTTGTTGCTACCACAACGCAATAGGCATGCGAAACGTTAGCAAGGCTCTATGCTAATCGTTCTCGCACTCAGGTGATCACCTTGAAGGAACGCCTCCAAAACATGAGACGTGATAGCCGCTCTGTTGCTGCTTATTTACGAGATCTCAAAACTGTTGCTGATGAATTGGAATCTATTGATCGTCCACTAAACGACGATGATCTTACAGTTTATGTTCTTAATGGACTTGGCCTTGAGTTTTGAGAGATTGCAGCCTTTCTTCGAGCATGAGACTCCTCTCTTTCCTTTGATGACTTGCATGACAAATTGGTAGCTCATGAGGAAAGTCTTAAATGAGAAGACGCACGTCCTGAGATCACACCGGTGATTGCTCACTATGTCACTGTTTCTTTTAATTCTAGCACTGATACTCCTTCTTCATTGAGTGCAGGAAACTCTAATTGCCCTCTTAGCTGCCACCCTCAACAGGTATTCCGTGGCAATCAGAATGGGCTGAACTCTTCAAATTGAGGCAATCAAAACCGGTGTTGAAATTTGGTACCAAGCCCACAACTTAGCCTGCTAATTCAAGCTGCCAACTGTGTAGTTGTGCTAGCCACTTTGCTAAGAACTGCCCCAACTACTGTGTGCAGGCTCTTGGGCAAATGGCAAATTTTGCCTCCTTCTTTGCTACTTTTTTTTTATGATTGCCTTTTGGATTCTGGTGCTAACAACCATGTGACCACTGATTTGGCTAACCTGGCACTTCATTCTGAATACAATGGTCTTGATGAACTTCATATTGGTGATGAATCAGGTTTGAAAATCACACATGTGGGCCACTCCACACTATCTACCCCTTACTCCTCTTTACCTTTGCGTAATGTTTTATGTGTTCCTTCTGCCTCTCGTAATTTAGTTTTTGTCTCTCAATTGTGTAAACATGCCAATGTTTATGTTGAATTTCATGCTAATTTCTTTTTGGTGAAGGACTATTGCACGAACGAGATACTACTCCAAAGGCCAAACATTCATGGGATTTATCAAATACTGGGAAAAATTAGCTCCACACCAACAGAACTAGCAGGAGAGCAGACTTCTTTGGTGAATTGGCATTTACGCTTAGGTCATCCTTCTATGAAAACCTTAAAACAAATTATTAATGTTTCCAATTTACCTTTATCTAATAAAATAAAGTTTTTATTATGTGAATCTTGTGCTTGCTCCAAAAGTCATAAGCTTCCTTTTTCCAATTCTTCCATTACAAGTAATTCTCCACTTGAACATATTTTTTTCGATGTGTGGGCCCAGCACCCATTACCTCCGTTGATGGGTTCAATTATTTTGTTTTATTTATTGACCTTTTTAGTCGATATGTCTGGCTTTATCCCCTTAAATGAAAATCTGATGTGTCCCTTCTTTTTTCGCTCTTTAAAGATCTTGTTGAAAATCAATTTGGGTGCAAAATAAAAAATTTACATACTAATGGCGGGGGCGAATATGTTGCCCTTCACAACTTTCTCTCTACAACAGGGATCTCTCATTTACTACCTCTCCTTATACACCAGAACTCAATGGCATAAGTGAACAACGCAACCGTCATGTTGTTGAGACTGGTCTTGCATTACTTCATGTTGCCTCTCTTCCACCTAAGTTTTGGACTTACGCCTTTCAAACTTCAATTTATTTAATTAATAGGCTCTCATCATCAATTTCAAAAGTTTCTTCATTTGAAACATTATTTCATGTTCCTCCAAATTTTCATAACCTACGAGTTTTTGGGTGCTTGTGTTATCCTTGGCTTCGTCCTTATAATTCCAATAAGTTACAATATTGTTCTCATCCCTATTTGTTTTTAGGTTACTCAACCGATAACTTGGGTTACAAACGCCTGGATTTGAGTTCTAATAAATTATTTTTTTTCCCAATATGTTGTCTTTGATGAGTCTACCTTTCCTTATAAACCTAAGTCCACTGTCTCTCATTTACCCTTTGATTTTTTACCCGCTGGTGAGTCTTTGACTCCCTCTTCACCTGCCCTTGATCTAAGTACCTTGCTGTTGCCGCTTCACTCTCCCACTGGTGCACCCCATGAATTAATGGCTCAAGTGGTTCCTGTTCTTGCAACTGCTTCTTCTTCCGTTCTGTCGCCACCCACCCAATCTCCAGCCTCATCCCGAGCCCTATTCCTAGCCCAATCCCTTGCCAAGTCCCTGGCCCAATTCCCAACCTTGTCCAGTTCACAAAGCTCCACACCCCAATCCCAATCAAGTCCTAATCCTTCTCCCTCATCCTCGGTCCAAGAACCAACACTCTTTCCTTCCCCAGGTAAGGCCACAAGCAATATGCTTCAACCTACCCCACCTCCCCGATTACACCTAATGTGCACCCGCTCCATGAATAATATTTTCAAACCCAAAACTCTCTTCCAAGCAATGTCCCAATGCCCTGCACCCATCCATGAGCCCACTTGTGTGAGTTAACCTCTCAAAAATCCCAACTGAAGATGGGCCATGTCTGAAGAATTCAATGCTCTTATGCATCAAGGTATGTGGGAACTAGTTCCCCCTTCCCCTAATCATCATTTAATTGGCTGCAAATGGGTGTTTCATTTAAAATGAGCAAAGGATGGTAGTATTGAGTGGTATAAGGCTCGACTGGTTGCCAAAGGCTTTATCAACGTCTTGGGTTTGATTTTTTCAACAGCTTCAGTCTTGCCATTAAGCCTACTACTATTCACACTGTTTTATTTATTGTTGTTAGTCGTTAGTGGGTTATTCGTCAGTTGGATGTTCATAATGCCTTCTTACATTGTCATCTTAAGGAAGAGTTGTTTATGCAACAACCAACAAGGTTTGTTGACCCTCATTTCCCTAATCATGTGTGCAAATTATGCAACTCTATTTATGGCCTGAAACAAGCTCCTTGAGCATGGTTTATTGAGCTCAATAATTTTTTATTGTCTCAAGGCTTTTCTTAGTCTAAATCGGATGTCTCTTTTTATTTTTCACAATGGATTCACTTGGATTTATTTCCTTGTCTATGTTGATGATCTTATCATTACAGGTAGTGATCCTTGTGCTGTTCATTCTCTTATTTGGGTCATGGGCACTCATTTCTCGTTGAAAGATTTGGGGTCTCTTAGTTTTTTCCTTGGAGTTAAGACTATTCCCACAACTGATGGTCTATTCTTATCTCAACATTGGTATATTGCTGATCTTCTCCACCAATACAATATGCATGAGGCAAAACTTGTGACTACCCCTCTTGCTTCTTTTTCTCCATTGCATCTCACTTCTAGTTCGCCTCTATCTGATGGCTCTGCTTATCAGCGACTTCTTAGCTCTCTACAATATCTTGCCCTCACCCGTCCAGACCTCTATTGTGTTGTAAATAAGCTTTCCCAATTTATTCATCAGCCCACTAAAGCTCATTGGCAGGCAGCTAAACGTGTTCTTCGATACCTGTTTGGCACCAGTTCTTATGGGTTGTTGTTAGGCCCTCAACGTGCTCTATCTTTGCATGCTTACTCTAATGCCAACTAGGCACATGATCTGTCTACTTGTGTTAGTACTACTAGTTATCTGGTATTCCTTAGCTCCAATCCTATTTCTTGGCGTGCCACCCAACAAAAGGCTGTTGGTCGGAGCTCCACCGAGGCTAAATATCATGCCTTAGCTGCTGCTGCTTTTGAACTAGTCTAGGTTCAAAATCTTCTTCAGGAATTGGGCATTTCTAGTCTTGGTTCTCCTGCTCTGTTTTGTGACAATGTTGGTGCCACTTATCTGAGTCTCAATCCCGTTCTCCACTCTAGTATGAAACACATAGCCATTGATTTACACTTTGTTCGAGATCTGGTCGATCAAAAAATTCTCCATGTGTCTCACATTTCTTCTCATGACCAGCTCGCTGATGGCCTCACCAAGGCTCTGTTTGCTGCTCGTTTCTCTAGTCTTCGTTCCAAGATTGGTGTTGCTGATGGCACCTCCATCTTACGAGGGTGTGTTAAGGGAAGTGTATCTCCTACGTGATCTGCACTTAATGGCACCATAATTCTAGGATTTAGTTAATCTATAATTAATGTATTGTATCATATATATTATTTCCATACTAGTTAAGCTTATTTCCATACCAATTAAGCTTCTGTGTTAGTACCTTTTGTATATATATTGTTTGCAATACAGCAATAAGACACAACTTAGTCTCCTACAATCTTTAGCCTTATACAGATCTATATAGATAAAAATATAATATTATTTATTATTTTAGTTTTTTTTTTTAATATTTTTCAGTTCATTTTGTATTCAACAACTTTTTTTCAATAATATGTTGTTTAAAAATTATAATAAGCAATTGAGCTAAATATATGTTCATTTTGAAAATTAAATTGACGACAGCCGTATATAGTATACATGGGAGATGTCCCAGATCCAGAGGTCTCTGTCACCAATGTTCATCTCAATCTACTTTCGAAGGCAATTGGAGAGTAATCATCAAAATTACTGCTTTTTTTTTTTTCTTTTCCTTTTACCAAATTTCATTGTCATTATACTGTTCATTAATTTAGACAGTTTTTGATCTGATGAATTTATATTTTACCAATATTTCTCTTAAGTGAGCAAATAGCCAGAGAGTCAAAAATACATAGCTATGGCAAGAGCTTCACTGGGTTTGTTGCAAACCTTTTGCCCCATGAAGCAAAGAAACTATCAGGTCGGAATATGTTGAATTGAAGTTTCAAGTTCCTATCAATGGGAAACACCTTATTAAGCTCACTCCCATTAAGTTGAGCTTTTGTATTTTTCATTTGGTTTACAGAGGAAGATGGTGTTATATCAGTGTTCGAAAACACCCGACGCAAACTTCACACAACAAGATCATGGGATTTTCTTAGAATGCCTACATCATGGAAGCTAAGGAACCCTAAAGTCGAAAGCAATATCATAGTAGCCTTAATGGATAAAGGTATAGCAAAACATATAACAACTTTACATTTTAGGGGCCTACAGCACAGCAATGTTGTGATACAGACTTTTTTGGTTAACTTCCGTTCTTTTCATGTTAATTACTACTTGTAGGGATTTGGGTGGATTCCCCAAGTTTTAGTGGCAAAGGCTTTGGACCTCCTCCACCTAAATGGAAGGGAAAATGTGATAAAGGATCAAACTTTACTGGCTGCAACAAGTACTGTTTTGCCCTGTCTCTTTATACTGCTATTTCCTATAGATTTAAATTTGAAGTTAATGTTTTACATGCTGCACAAGACTGCAAAACATGAATAGTAAACGAGAGGGATTCACTTCTACATTTAGAGGCTTTCATATGATAGTTTATGTTATACAGTTAAGATTACATTAGACTACATAACAATTTTTTCTAAAAAATGTGGTGTCTCCGGGTGTTATTTTCATTCATGAACAACTACTGTAAAGTTAATCCTACCTGTCATGGCCAGGAAAGTAATTGGAGCAAGATACTACAATCTAGACAAAAGTTTTCCCATCGAGGAGGACCCAACCCCAGCTGACTACATGGGCCACGGGACCCATACTTCCTCCACCGCTGCCGGTGTATCCATCCACGATGCCAGCCTTTACGGGATAGCCAAAGGCACTGCTCGTGGCGGTGTGCCATCAGCACGTATAGCAATGTACAAGGTCTGCTGGAGTGGCGGCTGCACCGACATGGACATTCTGACCGGTTTCGACGACGCTATCCATGATGGAGTGGACTTGATATCCGTCTCCATAGGCGGCCTCTCCAGAGACTTTTTTGAGGACCCAATAGCCATTGGAGCCTTCCATGCCATGAAAAAGAGGATTTCAACGTCGTGGTCGGCTGGAAATGGAGGTCCTGATTTGTTTTCGGTGGAAAAAGTGGCACCATGGGTCCTCACCGTCGGGGCCAGCAGCATGGATAGGAACTTTTGGATGTTCAGCTTGGAAATGGCATGAAAATTGCAGTAAGTTCTCAGCCCCTTTTTTGAAGAATTTTTTTATATGTATCAAAAACAGAAAGAAAAAAAATCTTTTATTTTTACTGTTTAAATTATAAAATATTAATTATTAAATTAAGTGAGAGCTTTCATCTAATAATTAATATTTTATAATTTAAAAAACTAA